CTCAGGACCTGAGAGCGGCAGGTCTCAGCCACCCCTCCCAGGGCTGCAGGGCTACCGCTTCATTTCCCCTGTGCCTCAGTTTCCCCAAGCAAAGCATCCCTGAGCCCTTGGGGAAGGCTGCTGGAGCGTGAGCAGACACGCACACCCTGCAGGTCCCGGGACTGCAAGCAGCTGTGACCCTCGGGGGGGCTGTGGGGTGCAGGGACCCCAGCACCCTGCTCCCCTGGGGTTCCTATGTCTCCTCTTTAGGGACCCAAAGGCCTTGAGGTGCCCACCCCACTGTGCTCTGCCCATGTGTAGGATTGGGGAAACTGAGGCAGAGTGCGGGGCCGTGGTCAGAGGAAGATCCGCAGCGTTTGTCCCCTACAGCACCCTTGGGTGGCCCAGCTCACCATCCCCAAGTTCTTGCACCCTGGCACAGCACAGCACCCTTGGGTGCCCCACGGCACAGCTCACAGTCCCCGAGTGCTCGCACCCTGGCACAGCACAGTACCACTGGGTGCCCCACGGCACAGCTCAGTGCCCTGAGCACTTGCCCCCAGTGGGTGCAGCACCCTGGGGTGCCCCCGGCACAGCGCCATCCACACACCCATCCCACTGCCCCGGCACCGCCGTCACCCCCCAGGCAGTGCTGCAGCCTCCTGAAGCTGCCCCTGCTGGGACCGCTGAGGCCGGTCAACCCATATCACAAGTGAGGCAAGGCGCTGCCACTCCTGCCCTGGCCCCGCGGCACTGTCCACGGCGCTGGCGCCGGCTCACGAAATACCGTTTCAAAAATACCCAGGACTAACGAAAAGGCCCTGGAAAGTTGCATGCCACATCCCACTGTGGCTGGAGCGTCCGACGGGCGCAGTCCGGGGAGAGAAGGGGATGCTGTGGGTACCTGGGCAGCCCGGCTGTGCCATGGTGCCAGGCAGGGCACAGCCGGAGCCTGGTGAGAGGAGGGCAAGGTGCCAGCATGGGCACAGCAGTGACCTCCCTCTGCCCTGGGGGACCCAGCGCCCGAGGCCCCCGGCACAGGGTGCCGGGTGGCAATGCCCATGGTGGGTATGCCCACGGCAGCGATGTTGAGGCAGTGATGGCCACAGCATCAATGCCCGCAGTGGCAATGCCAGGGCAGCGATGCCATGGTGGTGATGCCCACGGTGGCAATGCCCATGGCAGCAATGCCTACAGTGGTGATGCCCACAGTGGTGACGCCCACAGTGGCAATATCCATGGCAGTGATGCCATGGTGGCATGCCCACGACGGCGATTCCTGCAATAGCCATGCCAATGGAGGCAATGCCCACAGTAGTGATGTCATGGCAGTGATGTCCACGGCAGTTATGTCATGGCAGTGATGCCCATCGTGGCAACAGCCACATCAGCAATGCCCACAGTGGCAATACCCATGGCAGTGATGCCACTGCAGCAATACCATGGTAGAGATGCCCACAACGGCCATGCCTGCAACGGCCATGCCGATGGCAGTGATGCCCACATCAGTTATGTCATGGCAGTGATGCCCAACATGGCAACAGCCACGTCGGCAATGCCCACAGTGGCAATACCATGGCAGCGATCCCACGGTGGGGATGCCCATGTGAGCAACGCCACAGCAGCGATACCCATGACGGCGATGCCCGCAACGGCTGTGCCCATGACAGCAATGCCCACAGGGATGCCACGGCGGCGGTGCCCGGGGCGAGGGCAGGAGGGTCCCCCCAGCAGCATCCCCGCTCTCACCTGTGCCTGATAGATACTCCCAGGATCCCTTGGTCCTAATCCCACGAAGGAACGGTTCGCAGGGGGCGTGCCTGGTGCAGAGTAGGCTGGGGAACAAACGAGAGCTCATTAACGGGGGCTGCCAGCGGCACTGCCATTGTCCCCCCGGGGCCAAGCCTGGCCAGCTCCCTGGCACTGCTGGGACGGGCGTCCCGGGCACCCGGAGCTGGTGGCCAGGCGATGTCCCTGGCTGCGCCCCGGCGGTGGGCAGGCGGAGGCCGGGGATGCTGGACCCAGGGCTGTGCCCTGCTGTAAGGGCGGCTTCGGGGTGACAGCAGGCTGGGGGATGTGAGAGACCCCCAGGGTGCAGGCGCAGACGGGTGCTCCCCTACCGTGCCAGCGCCGCAGCTTCCCGAGCGGAGCTGCTGTGGGGTGAGTGCGATGGGAGCCACCAGCTCCGCTCGGCCATGTCACCGCTGCTGCCACCTCCATCCCCCAGCTGGGGGTCCAGCAGTGGGACCCCTGGCTCCACTGAGCCCCTGGGCTCAGGGTGCTGCCAGGGGGATCGGGGGGCTCAGAGCCAGCTGGCCTATACGCCCCTTGGGGACAGTCAGTGTCCCCCGCACGTGTCCTTCCCTGAGCCGAGGGGGGACTGGCACTGCCCGGTCCCTCCCCGTGGCTGTCACCAGCCGGGCCATGCCACCTCGAGCTCTCCCCTCCACATCATCTGGGCTTTGACTCTTCACGCCGCATAACCTCGACACGCACGGGCTGGCTGGCAGCACCCGGCCGTGGCCTGTCCCCCAGGGACAGTGTCCCCACATAGGGCTCACCCCTTTGGGGAATGTGGCAGCCCCTCGGGGTACCAGGAGGCGTCCTGTGGGAACAGCGGGACAGGGACAGGGACAACCCCCTCCCGGAGCACGGTGATGGCACAACGTCCCACCACTGAGGCACGTGCCCTGATGCCAGACCAAGGGTGACACCAGCATCTCCCATCTGCAGCTCGGGGCCCAGAGCCCCAAAATCCTTCTGGCCAAGGTGCTAAAGCCCCCCGAGGCGGAGTGGAGGGGGATGAGCTTGTCAGCTACCGCGGCTAATGAAGGCTCCCCAGGCGCCTCCCGTCAAGGGCTCCGGCGGGCCTGCATGCAGTCCTTGCGCCCGCATTGCATCACAGCCCCCGTCCAGATCGGGGTCCCAAGTGCCAGGGACCCCTGTGGCAGCAAGAGCACGGCAGCCCGGTGCGGCGCAGCTGGGCATGCTGTCCCCAGCCCCAGCGCCACACCCATGCCGGCTGGTCCCTGCGTTACCGGTAGCACCACCACTGCCGACCAGTGGGGAAACTGAGGCACGGAGAGGCAACAGCCTCCCTTGCAAGCCCTGCCTGCGCTAGGCGGGTTTGGGCAGGCCATCGGCTTTGGGGGGGCGCGCC